GGATATAGACAAGAAGAATAGAGGAGATCCAGTGGAGTGTTTCCGTGAGTGTATGTCTGCCTGGTTAAGAGGAGAAGATAAAGTGAGAGAGAAAGAAGGTCCCAGTTGGTCATCATTAGCTACAGCACTGGATACAATAGAAGAGAAACCCATTGCTAGTTACATTAGAAATAAATATTGTATATCAAAATAGTTGATTGACTAGTTTAAATTCTATGATAACTACATTAAGTATGCAAGTGAAAGCAAGCCCTGCTATTAAGACAAAATAAGCAAAAAGTGCGCCTGACTATAAATCAATAGACTGTATCGATAGAGTCAATTACTGTAGTATTAATAGAGTCCTTACTACATGTATAATAGTAAACAGTACTATGTACCAGATGACTACCTGTCTGGAGGGTATGTGACACCTGTGAGGTGAGAAAAGTGGTAGAAGGTAAGGATGATATGCCTCACAGGTAGATATCTAATTTATACTATGATTTCATTTACCACAATGAGTCTAGCCCATGCCCTACTCTTACCTATGGCTTCAAACTACTTTGTCAAAAAGAATGGGACTACTCTTATAATACAATGTACATGTACATGTAGTAGATGTATCATTGTTACTATAAATAGCATCATTTATCAATACTATAAATAGTATTTATATCCTTTACCTCTGTTCCTAAGGAAGAATGACACTATGTCCAACTGCCTCAGTTCCAGTCCAGTCTCCAGTGCATTGAGAGGGAGGGAACATTGGTCCCAGCGGTTCAAGTGACACACCTCCTCAGCTACTGACACACTACCATACATTAATACCTAATAATAATAATAATAATAATAATAATAATAATAATAATAAATTAATTTATTACTTTTGCTACAAAGTCTTCTTGTGATAAAAGGAATGCTGAAACTGATAATGAACTATCAGAAACCAGATAAACCGGTTTGTCCTCATTAGTGGGCAGGATCAACCAGTTCCAAAACAACAGACTAAAAAAGGACATTATAAGACCACACCCATCAATTAATAATGATAATAATTAATGACTCACTTGGCTATAATGAATAGTATCTCTCAGAAACCTTATAAATGACAATTAAATTGGTAGTTTTTGGTTCCTGTTCTTCATTCCTCATTTTTCCATTCCCATTCTTATCATAATACGCTATTACCAATCCGTTATTATAGTGGGGGTACAATAAGTCACTGGTCACATGACCTTCAGCTGGAGGGAGTATACACTGTATGGGGTAACTAGTGCTGGAGTGGGTAGGACTTGATGACATGTCGTCCTGTTTTATATTCAACGTTTAGTTTTTCTCATACTAGTAATACAAACATTGCTAGACTCCTCCCAGTCTCTGCCCACTCCTTTACCAAGCTACGCATCTCCACTAGGCATGTACCACTTGTCGTCTGAAATTAGTTTAACTGGTTTGTCGTGTTCTTTTGGTAGTTTAGAAACTTTGCCCAGTATCAAGCCACGCCCCTCATTAAGATTCATCCTATCAATGTTTTGCATTAGTCTACTACATTGCTTAGCAACATAAAAATATCCGACAAAAGGTCCGACGTACTTTGTTCCTTTTTTTCGTCTTGTCAGACCACCGTACCTCCATCTCTCTAGCTCCTCCTCTTGGCTGATGGGCGGGTCCTGGAGCCGCTGGGTGGGCGGGACCCTCTTGGTCGACTTTT